CTGACCGTGGAGATCTCGGAGACACCTCAGTGAGGCATATGTACCTGCCAGGAGGAATATAACTTTTGCTGTAGCAGCGAACGATGTCAAATGTAAACAACGAACACCATTTCAAACGATTCATATATCACGGTTTTGTTGGTCTGAGATATTCAGATGAAAATATCAACGTTTAGTTAGTTTAATTTAATTTTTATGTTCGCATTTAAGTAGAGGACAGTGCAGAAATCTGCTTTCTGTTCTTTTCATTCCCGTACCCTTGCTTGGCTGTGAATTTAGTTCAAAATGCTTGTTCGAGACTGGGTCTTCATCCCGCTCACCATCAGTCTTTTGGATCCATGCCGTTGGAAGACCTCTGCGAAACTTTGCAGTAACATTTGTTTGTTGCGATTTTTCCGTCTTCATCCAACTGACTCTTTCGGCTCATTATGCTGTCGGTCTGTAGTTCATCCCTCGTTCATTCTCTTGAAATGCAAGTAACACTTCATTGTAACTTCTTCACTTAGGCGATGACATCGCATACTCTGGTTTTTCTTGCCCATTCATTCGTCTTCCCATCTTTTCATCTTTTCAACAGACATCTTGTCATGCTGTATTGCGTAGTTTTCAGTTTATCTGAACAACTTTCAGGCTTAAGGTTCGAGTTTCACATCCATAGGTTAACAGTGGGAACACACTGATCGAAAACTTTCTGTTTCAGTCACAAGGACAATATCCCAGGAAAGAACATTTTCAATCTTCCGAAAGTGCTCCGTGCAATTTTTGCTCTTCGGTTGATTTGGCAAAGTCAGTTCTCCTGCAGAGATGAGCTGTCACACGTAGACATACTTCTACACGTCTTGGAGCATCGGTCCATTAACTTCAACAGGTCAAGAGGTCACGTATTTGTTAAACATTACTTGGGTCTTCTTCAGGTTCATTTTCAGTCTTTTTTGATGCTGGCATCGTTCAACTGTTGGATTCTTCTTTGAAGTTTTTCTCATGACTTTGAAAGGATGAGAACATCGCCTGCAAACGCTGGTGGCTTAAGTACTGCCCATTTATTTTAGGCCGTGACACTTCCAACGAAGTGCCGTGAAGACGACCTCTTCTGTGGCTGTTGTGCATAACCGTGACACTGGGTCTCCCTGTCACACTTTTCGATTTTTAACCTGTGTGTGCCTCATTGAAGCTTCACAGTAGCGGCTGCATCTTTGTTAATCATGGCGATGATTTACAAATCATGTTATACTGTTTGATTATTTAAAAAAAATATTTTTCCTGTGCTTCTACGAGTGATGATAGTACTTCTTCTCACCTAACTTATAAGGTCTGATAGATCTGGCTTTTCTAAATTTCAGCAGAGGACTTTGTTTAAGGTGTTTAGTACATGTGAGGGCAACAGTACGGAGCTCACTATGAAGTTCACCTGAGAAAGATTTTTTTTGTCGTTGTTGCGAGGGCTAACAGTCACTGTTTTGTTTCAGTAAAAATGCCACATGCTAGATGCATTGTTCTTTCTTGAATTTTTGTTAGACAGAATGAAGAACTGTCCTCTGATTAGGCTAACAGGTTTTTTTTAAAATGCTTTATGTGGGTGGGGGATGATAACTAAGCATCACTTACTCATTAGCTGCTAACGTTGGACAAAGATGACGAGACAGCAACGGCAACACCTAACATTACTAAGGAAACTAAATAATGATCTCTAACTGATGAGAAAGTTGACGATATCAAAAGTCGAAATGTTGGGATGAGCGGACATCTGGCATATTAAAGACCAGCACAGCCGTTAAATCTGGCAGCATAGGTAGCAGTATAGAAACAGTATGAAAACTGCTCACCTGACCAATGGACAGAAGAGTCATTTGGGGTTTTCGCCCTTTTCTAACATTCCTTCGTCGACTGGCACGGGACCGATGTACTGCATTGCGGGTCTGTGTTTCACAACGTGTCGGCGGAACTTCTAAGATACCGTTGGACGTATGCCGCTGCAGATACCTCGTGAAGAAGGTCGTCCCGCTGTTGCTTCCGA